TATAAATATATAAAATAAATCTATATATCTATCTACCATTGGGCATCTCGGTGTGGTGTAATGGTTAGTCGCTCAAACAAAATGACTGAGAATTTTCGATCCTTCTGGTAAAATTTCAGTTACGACTAAAACGCTGAGAAAATAAATCGATGGAAAATGTTATTTGGTTTCTTTTAATTTCATTTTTTATATATATATATATCTAATATATATATATAAATAAATATATATATATATATATATATATATATATATTTTATATATATATATATATATATATATATATATATATATATAAAATAATAAAAAAGGAAAAAAAATAAATACAAAGTAAATAATCCAAAGTATTTTTAATTTATAATTGTTTTTTTAAAATAGTGCTCGATAAAAAGTAAAATTTGCTTTAATATAATTTTTTTTGGTTTTTTTCAATATTTTTTTTGCGGGGGTCGCTAACATATATATATATCTCATGTTTATAAACTAGATAAATATTAAAATTATATAATATAATCCTTTAAAATTAAAAAATGAATTGAAAAAACTTAAAATGGGCAATAAATCATCCTCAAACAAAGAAATTTTTGTTGGAATAACGTTTATCTGGAAATTTATCTTGTTTTTAAAAAATTGAAATCAAAATCCCCATTAATTGTTATATAACATTCTTTTTCAGTAAGTTTACCTCCTCTATCGCTGATTTTTAATTTATCAGTTATTTTTTTACTAGTTTTGTTTATGCTATCAACCATATTAATGTTGTTGTTGCAAGCTTTTTATAAGTCCTGGTTATGGGAAGAAAAACATGAAAAGAAATATCATTTGGTACACCCCTCCGTTCAACCAAAGGGTTAGTATTAAACCAGGACAGAAATTCTTAGCTCTAATTAATAAACACTTCCCCACCAATAGTGGGCTTAGTAATATGTTCAATAACACCCTTTTTTGAGCTACAGCTGCTCTGAAATCTTGAACGCATAATAAAAAAACACAATAATAAAATCTTGAACAAACCCCATGCCAAAACAGTATTAATAAAACTCTTCACTTAAATCAGACGATAAAATTGAAAAATTATGCAACTGTAGAATACCAGAAGACTGCCCATTAGAAAATAAATGTTATATTAATTCTGTATGTACCGGTGTGCTATTTCATCCACAGAAAGCCCCTAGCAATAATATGATATACATTGGGTCCACGAAGAATGATTTTAAAGATAGATGGAGGCAGCATAAGTATCCTTTAATAATATAAACAAACGAAATCAGACTTCACTATCAAAATATTTTTGGCACCTGGTGGGGGGACAGATGAGACACCAAGGGTTGGATGGAAAATCATTGACAAGGCCAGAATATATAAAATTATGACCCATGCCCTTTGTGCCTCCATGAAAATTGCACATTATTAAACTTCTGAATAATAATAATCTATTAAATAATAGACACGAGTTGACGGTTTTTTACCCATCATCAGATTTTTGGTTTGAATTATTAGATAAAAAAAAAAAAAAAAAAAAATTTATATAACTTGTTTAACAAATAGCCCAATCATCAGATTCATAGTAGGAATAATTAACTACAAACATGCATACAACATAACACACTTCATAATCCATAGCCTAAATTAGTAGTTTAAATACCTTACATATAAGATAACCCTTTATGAAGTCGTCAAAAAACAAACGTTACGAAAGTTTTTCTTTTTTTTTTTTTTTTTTTTTATATGCACAATTCCCTTTCATAATAAAATAAAATAAAATAAATAAATAAATCTCCATAGACAATCAAACTAGACGATGGCCAATACATCTTCCGTTTCATTTTTGACACCCCCACCTTTCCCCGACTTGACACCTTGAAAGTATCTCTATACCGCTACTTATTATAAACACCCTACACTCGCCTACCCAATTTAGAAAATTCACCATAGCTGTTACCATGGGGATTTTGATTTCAATTTTAAAACAAGTAAATTTCAGATATACGTTATTCCAACAAAAATTTCGCTTGAAGATGGAACGGAGCCCATTTTAATTTCAACTCAATTTAATTTAAAGGATTATATTGAAGTTTTCGGCTCTTGTTTTGAAACATGAGACCTCTTATGTAGCGATTTGGAATCATATTTTAAATAAATAATATATATATATATATATATATATATATATATATATATATATATATATATATATATATATATTTTTTCCTATCCCCAAAAAAAAAATTTTGTTAAAAACCAAAACAAAGTCTGATTGGTGACCAAAGAATAAAGCAAAATAGAACCAATAGGAGAATTCAAACTGAGAAGCCGAAAAGGCAAACATCTATCTGAACAGTAATATAAAGTGATCTATGTCTAAATTATCAAAATAGAACAAATACGCTTCCCAGCCTCACGACTCAGAAAGAATCAAAATTCGAAACCTTACTCGAGTTTCATGCTACAGCGATCGTCAGGCGAACAGGTGCATTTTGTTCTCCTGGCGATGGAGCGTAACCAGTTGGATTCTCATGGTATTCAACACTGAAAGATTCCTTTGTCAATCTTAGCTTGATCAATACGCTGCTTATATGTATCATGTTTGTTTTAAAAAAAATAAAATAAGGCTTATAATTTTCGTCTTTTTCGTTTTCCTTCACACAAATCCATTCCTTTGTTTAGCATCAATGAGGTAATCCCAATTTCGTTTATTTCAGTAATCCCAAAGCTAAAGATCAAAGATCCTGCAGTTCCAATATTTTCCAATAAGCGGAATCTCTGCATCTATTTCTGACTCGAATCTACACGCAAAAATTGCTAGTCTTTCCTGCATTTTAATAATTGCTTCAATGTAAAACTATTCACTCATATCATTGCCTTTGTAAACACAAAGAATTGCGTGCGCATATTAAAATATTTCCTCTGACAGTTGCATCAATATAAAACGGAAAAATCCCCTGTTTTGCAGCATTTAAATAGCTTCAGGAAATCAATCAATGAGATCTCCTTTGATGTGGTCAATTTATATTGAAATACAATCAACACTACATTTCCATGTAAAAGTCAAAGGTCAGTAATTTTTGTTAAATATTTTTGGATTAATATTTCATCACTTTCTACAACCCCATATTTAAAGAACACGTGTTTCAGACCAATTACTTATTCACGAGCATTCATCTATTAAATAATCTCTTTGTTTTCCCTTTTTTCCCTAATGTAGCACAAAGCTTGATTCATGTCATATCAAATTAGAGGGATTGCACTATGAGCTGAATGCCTCAATACCATTTTGATGAGTATTCCAAACATCTGTTTACTTAGCTACTATATTGGCATGGATTTAGCTATCAGGGTTACAACCCCTTTCAACTACTGACACTTCTGATATCATTCCCTTCTCACTTTAAAACTGAAAAGACTCTGGTGTATGAAAATTAGTAAAACGTATGTACTTCTGTTCGTTCCAGTCCGCCTAATAGATTTGCGTACCATAAGGATATTATGGAATTAAAAATTACCTGTTGTTCCCAGGTTCAACCTTGACCTGGGGTTGTAGCACCTGTTAGGGTTCCAGCTATGGGCAAAATAGTCAATCCCTAAACTGAAGTCAAAACACTAAGAATGTATAAAAAATAAATTTTTATAGTAAAAATAACAATTTTTATTAGTAAAAATAACAATTTTTATAGTAAAAATAACAATATATTTGACTCTCGACACAAAATCCTCTGTACAAAAATACATCAATGAAACTTGTCCTAGATACTGCTTTCTTACAAGGAATACATATTCTATTCTACAAATTTGGCCTAAAAATCTTGTCGCCATTGAATATTCCATAGAAATTTATATGCCGTAAAAATAAATAAACGAAACCAAACTAAACCAAACCAAATTCTGTAGAAAAAACCCCTTACAAAGGAAACATTCTGTTCATACGAACTTATCCTAAAAATCTTTTCAGCATTAAATAAGCCATTAAGGTTGATATAATGTAAAACAAAATAAAGCAAACCATGATTGCCCACATTTTCAACGGAATCGGTCAGAAGAAAAAGAAAAAGAAGAAATTCTCGTAGAACAATGTGACTAAAAATATGTATAAGCTGTTAATTCGAAGAATCAACGAAGAAGACAGCCAGTTCGTGCGACTTTTGTGAATAGCAAATACAGTAGAGAATGTCAGAATATTTAAGAAACGTGATGCCACTTGATACGAGAGACAGGTCCTACTTTTGGAGAAAGACATAATAAAACCAAAGACAAGAAAATTAGTCTCTTTTTAGATGCAAAATTATATTCAAATTTCGGAAATTAATTTCTATTCGTTAAAATTAGCAGAATAAATATTAAAACGTAAACATAGTTTCTTTCTAATTTTTGGTTAATATGTTATTTATATATAAACTCTTTTCTGAAAATTCTTCTCACTTAAAAAAAAACGCGTTGTTCTAAAGTGTGTATTTCTGTTAATTTCTGTTTTAAATAGAATCGATTATTTCAGACGGCTTTTCTCATCGCTGCAAAATTGATCGAGTCTGATATGTCTGGTTGTAAAATAGTTGTTTTTAACAATCTCCAGTGGCTCTTAACGAAAGAAAAATTCAGATATTCCAATGATCTCTCATAAAAAATCTCAATTTGCCGGTAATCGGTAATGTCTTGCAAATAATTGTCAAGGGAGATAATCAGTTTAGAATATGGTTTAAATCTTGGTGTTCAGTGGTCGACGCTCGTTGCTTGTTTTTGAAAAGTTTAACGCCTGTTGATTTACTCGGGATATTTAACCGGACAGTTGAGTGATCAGGGAGAAACAAAAGGAGACCGTCGAGACAGAACTCTCAGATTTTGTTTTTCTAGCGTGAAATTTCGGTAATTAGCTTTTCTTCAAGAATGGTTTGTGCTGTTTCCGCGTACAGTCGTACTCACACAAACACACACATACTTGCATGCGCATGCATACATGCTCGCACACAGACATAAAAACGATGACACACACACACACACAAACCAGTTCATGTGAATCGGAATGTAGAAATTTCGGATATGTTTCGAGAAAGATAAATTAGAGAAGACGACGACGAAGATAACGATGACGAAGAAGAAGAAAAAGAAGAAGAATGAAAAGTGAAAGTGAAAAAGGTTAAGAAAGACATATGAGGAAATGAAATGAAACGAACGTTAAAGTAAAGAAGAAAGTTGAAACAGGATATAGAAGAAAAGAAAAAGTTTACAAGAAAAAGTATGGAAAATGGAAAGCCGAAACGAAAAGTACTCGAAAAAATAGCGAAAAATGTCAACATTTTTCAAATAAAGTAATAACAAAAGACAGAAAAAGAGAATAGTGAGGTAAAGAGTAATGCAAACGATTAAAACTATTCTCAAAAACAAAAATTTAAAAAGAAACGCACTAAAAATATGGATATTTATTTTATTTAATAATTGTTTTACAATAATAATAATAATAATAATAAACATTTTTAGAAGAAGGAAATTCGAGGAAGAAGAAGAAGAAAAAAAGAAGGAGGAGGAGGAGAATTTTAAATAATTTTTTTTAAGAAGAAGAGGAGAAGAAGAAGAAAATTCTCGTAGACCCATCGGACTAAAAACAAGTATAAGGTGTTAAATATAAGAATCGTAGAAAAACCTTTAAAAAAGAAAGATGTAACTTTAACTGAAAGCTGAGAAAAGAAAAAGATTATGAAATAGAAAGAGAGAATATATGTGTCAAAAGAAACATTCATAAAAACATTAAATTAAAAAAAAAAAACTTATGTCTTCGGCTAAGAATATAGAAACGTCACTCAAACGTAAACTTGTTCCTTCTCTCTCTCTTTCCTCTCTCTCTCCCCTTCCCTCTCTTTCCCACCTCCCCATACATTAACACCTATAGAAACTTTTTATTTAATCTTATGGACATCCAAACACCTACAGCCATTAAAATCCAAACCGTTACATTTGTTTTTTATGGAACAGAAATGAAATTTATATAAAAAAATATTTAAGGCTAACGACCTGTTGTTACTCTGTACTTTTGATGGTAATATTATACGCTCGATTTCATTGGCAAGGAGGGGGGGTTTAGAGTGTATGTAGAGTGTTGGCGTGTGAGATAGATAGATAGATAGATAGATAGATAGATAGATAGATAGATAGATAGATAGATTGTCACTGACAATCCATTTCTTCCCGAATTGAAATGCAGTTGTGTCATTAAATCTATAGACATGTATGCGCCGTGTCCTTTCAGGCCGTTGATGGTCATACCCCTCCACAATTTCCAGTCCTCTGTAGCACTTAGTAAATGTTGGCATTTTCCTATTTCTCCTAATCCCTGTTCAGCCAACCATTTAAGCAAGCCCGTTAGGCAGGGGTTATGTGTTGCTTTCCCCAGTTCATCTTGCGACCTGTGAGTGTCATATTCACCAAGCCCTCTTTCTTCATTTTGTGTCCCAGAATTTTCAGCTGTCCCATTCTGATTCTAAATATAAACGTTCCTTTTGTTGCCATTTTCCTTAGAACTTCCTTGTTACTCACATGATCAGTTCACAGTATTCTCAGCATCCTTCTGTATAACCATATTTCTGTTATTTCAAGTATCCTCTTTATCTATGAGGGAATCGTTCAAAATTCTCACTGCCGTATAAGAATTAACTGAAATGACATAAAATGACAGCATGGGTTCCTTATTTAATCTTCCTTGGCGTACAATCTCGAAACGTCGTGAATATGGCAACGAAGATAAGGACAACAGTCTGAAATAATTACAATACAGAAATATAAACAGATCCTGAAGAAGGATGGAACGTAAAATGGCCGAAACGTTTTATAATATGGCAACAAGGCTGAGGACAACAGTTCGAACAATGCAAATAGTGTAAATGATTACAATAACTCATCTTAGAAATATAAACAAATGCTTTTCATTATTTTTAACAAAGTTTTCTTGTTTCATTGCTTAGCTTTTAGAAATATCGCTATTCCAATGCATCTTCGGATTTCGCTGTCACATTTTCCCTACTCTGTTAAAACACTTCCTGATATTTAAATTTTCGTATATAATTGATTTTAGCAGTTTGCATCCAGAACTGTGTTTCTCTTGCTGACAACCCCAAATTGTCTTCTTAAAATTGGTAGTTATTCCTTTCTTCTTATGTATTTTATTGATTTCTAAAAGTGTAGATTGATTTCTAAAAGTGTAGATTGATTTCTAAAAGTGTAGATTGATTTCTAAAAGTGTAGATTGATTTCTAAAAGTTAAAAGTAGTTACCTTTCTGTGTCTGCTGTCAAATAGTTTTCCCAGATCTGACTAAACAGAACTTTGGCGGAATCCATTGTTGTTCGAGATGATACATTTTATGTACACCCTGTATATATAATAGCTTTTATTTACCTTAACTCTTGACAAACCCTATTCTCATGAGTTTTTTTTAATGCATTACCTGAAAATCGAGTGCTGAAAATGCCAACGAAAATTACCAAATTTGGTAGTTGAATAATCAAATTTCACTTTTAATGGCGAATCGTTGTTTTGTTGATTTTTTAGACGAAGTCAAACAGCCATGAATTAAGGCCTCCTCTTTATTCTTTCCCTTGTTTTTTACTGCATTTTTCTTTACTTTCTTTATAGACCTACCTACCTACCTCCCTACCTTTCTTTCCATCTTTCTTTCTTTCTTTCTTTCTTTCTTTCTTTCTTTCAGATTTCCACTTTAAACACAAATGCGTTTCACCCCAAGCAAGGCGGAAAACCACTGCACGCAAGGGGTTACAGAGAGTTGGAGCGAGAGCAAATAGGAGTGATAGAGGAAAGGATGAAGAGAAGGATAGGGGATAGATCAAGGCATCTGGAGACGTCGATTGACATTACATTTGAATAGTTGGAGATTATAGCTATCAGGAAAACAGGAAAAGGGAGGGAGTTCCACAGGCGAGAAGTGCGAGACATGAAGCTATTGGAGTAGAAGAGACGGCTACATTTAACAGTTTCGACAGTGAAAGGGTGAGAGCGAGATGCCAGCCTAGTTGAACGCTTAAATTCATGAAAGTCTGGGAACCAGCGAAAGCAGCTCATCGGAGCAGTTACCGTGAAAGTATTTGTAAAAAAAAAAAAGACAGAGGGAGGCGACGGCACGTCTGTGAGAGAGCGACTGCAGACGAGATGCCAGATCAGGGCCAATTACATTGCATATCCGTCTCTGGATTTTATCAAGGACCTTGAGACAAACAGAAGGGGCTCCAGACCATATATGGCAGCAATACTCCATGCAAGGGCGAATGGTTGATTTGTAGATTTGAAGGATCGACTCCGTTGATAAAAAAATTCCTGGCGCGGCATAGGGAGCCAACTTTCTTTGGTGTTCAAGCCGTTGACTTTCAATATTTGTTTTTCTCATCCAGCAGTCAATGTGAGACCGAGCAGTCGCAAATTCATGTTCTCGTCTAAACATTTTCCAGAAATTCTAATGGGCGTTGGGATGGTTCTCTCTGGTGGGTAATTAGAAGGCCAGAAATTTGAGGCATTAAATCTTTTTGTTGGTAATTCCTTTTTATGTTAAGAACAGAGATTGTCAAAAACCTTTTTTAAGACAAACATGCATTTGTTTTGGGAAAGAAGATTTCGATTAGGATGTAAGTAAATTTTAAAACGTCAATTTTCATTTTGAACATTATCATAATTTATAGGACTTCACTCCAGGTTTTTTTACGGAAAACATTTATACTTATTTTAATTTAATATGGCGCAAAAAAAATAAAGCATGAAAGGAGTTATTTAATTTCCTCAAAAATAGAATTTTTGCCATTTTTATCACCCTTAGCATTTATTCATGACCTTCCTTCCACAGTTTATAATTTTCAAATTGAGTCGCAACAGATCTTTAAATCATTATCGTCTTCATTGAGATTTCAATCGTTCATTGTTATCTTCTCTTTAAAAAAATTGATGGTTATAAAAGCATTTTTCCTCATTATAGCTGTTAAACTTCGCAACCGAAACCAGAACTCTCGAATTTTATAGTACTGTTTTATATTGCAAATTTTCCATTCTACAGAAAAAGCGTTCGCAATAAGAAATGGAATTAATAATATTCTTTTTAAATTGCCAACGATTCTTCTATCGACCTGTTAACCGAAATGAGATTTTGGTTGATTTTTTTGCTTCATGTTTTCTTAAATTTGGCGATCCTACGGAATGCCGAAAATTTGATATTTAATTTGAACAAATTTTTATCGTTCAATATAAAAAATTAAAATGAACAGTTTGAAAATTTTTAGATTAATTTCAATCTATGTTGGTGAAATCATTTCAAAATATAGATAATTTTAATTTTTTTTTGCAAAATATATATATATATATATATATATATATATATATTTTTTATATTTTAATATATAATCCAAGTGGATTTTTTTGAATTTTTTGAATACTATTAAAACTTGATCCACAAAAGAACTCAATGTATTTATTATTATGGAGCAATAAATAAAAATCACCTCATACGAGGAATAGCCTATTTCACCAAAGGAAAATTATCGTGTCTTTCATCTGTTTTAAAAACAATGAAATAGATAAATTCTGTAAAAACAGTTTTTTTTTTTATATATAGCTTTCTATCTGTCGTTTATTTATAAAATCTGGCAATCACTCATTCTATAAAGGGTTTTTAAATTAAATATTCATTACTATAAAATCATTATTTTTATTTTATTTTTATATTATATATATATATATATATATATATATATATATATATATATATAATAAAAACTTTGAAATATCACAATTTTGTAAAAATTTTTTTTAAAAAAAAAAAAAAAAATTGAGAAAATTGTATGAACTCTCAGCTACAAAATCAAATATTAATTTATATATATATATATATGTTGTGTGTCTGTTTGAAAATGCATGTGTCGTGTGTGTGGAAGTTCTGTTTTTGGAAATAATGGATTTGGACCCAGAACTGAGTAACTATTAGTAATATCCATTAACTCACTACATGGTTTTTATAAAAAACAACAACTGGATACGAGACAAATGAAATTTCTTGATAAATCCATGCCAAGGAGTCATTGGAGAAATTTTCTCCCTCACTGGCTCCTGTTCTCTCTAAAATCTGCATTGTTGTTTGTTACATTACCTGGAACTAAATTCCATTGTTTACAGAACAGGTTTGTCAAAAACAAACATCCTTCTAAAATAAAATTTGACAAACCTTTTTCTCTTTAGGGCTAAAAACTAAATCCTACAAATCGACTCTGAATTGTTGAAGGGAACGAACGTAAAAAAAATCTTTCAGATAAACTTGATAATTGTTCCCCATTGAATCGGTCAACTCCTGATCTACATTAAATTATCGTGCTGAATTTAATTTATCAGATTTTTCATGACAGATCTTTTGTTTCAAATATCTGAAAAGCATTTTCCCTTGTTTTTGAAAACAGGTTCTCAACAAGATCAAATAGTTTATCCTTCTTTAAATGGGTTTTTTAACTGAAAAATTTCTTTATCAAAAAGCAAAATTTTTTTTGATTTTTCTTTAGATCTTTTTTGCATTGATTTTAACATTTGTCACTCCATTTTTGGACGAAAAACATCTTCCTAATTTTCATCAAACGTTCCTGTTCAAAATCTATAGGTTATGAAAATAACTATGTAAATAATTCTTTTTAGTATATAAATATTTCGATATTTTCAAACTAAAGTTAATCTAAATAATGACTATTTTAATTTTAAAAATTAATATTTTTTAATGTTAACACCTCTGGTAAGACTGGAAATTTCGTCAAATGTTCCAAAATCGAATTGACTATTTCTTGCTGTAATGATATAGGGTTATATATAAACATTTCATATGTAAAATGATTTGACATTGCAGCCAATCATATTACTGAGCTTAAATTCAAAAAATATGCATATTCATTAAATTCAACAGTTTTATTTAAAAGTATTTACAAAAAACGTTTTAGGAAAAAATTACAAAAAATAAAAATAACTTATTCAAAAGAAATCTAAAAATGATTATGCCCTGTCAGAACCAAAATTGCAAAATTTATTCTTTTGGAAGCTATCAAGAATTTTTAAATATTGTTGTTTGTGTTCTAGACCAAATATAGCCTCTGTATAAAATATAAGGATTCAATGATAGACTTATATGTTAGATTGTTTCAAATTCTTAAAATTATCTAGTAAAACAAATTCATAAAACAAACTATATATTTTTGAAATTTATTGATTTTTTTCAATTTTTCAAATTCATTCCGACTTCATAAAAAGGATTATTTTGTTTTTCAAGTCGAAATGAACCGCTCAAAATGCTATTAAGCATCTGTAGTCTTTTTATTGTTTTAAAAAATAAAATTCTCAATACGATTAAAAATGTCATTTCATTTGAGGGCATTAAAACCAACAAATTTTCTTTGCCTTAAACAACATTTAAAATTTTTTTTTTTTTATCAGCTGCCAATTTGAACTCAGACTTACTTTTAAGACATTATAAAACGGTTTCATCATCAATAATGCTTTCTGAGATGAGAACAGATAACATCAAAAGCAAATTGCAGAAACCGCTTTTCATTAAAATTGCAACATGTGTTTTCGTTTCTATTTTTTTAAGAAATAGTAGTAAAATGTAATTATTCTTTATTCATTTTATTATTGATTTGATTTTTTTTGTTTTATCAAACTTTTTCATAAAATGTACATATATAAGAAAAAAAAAAATTTAAATTTCAGATGCTTTTTAATATCATTTATTTTAGTAATGTTTATCTGTTACAAGTTCAACTAATTTCCTTCCATTTTAGCTAGGAAGGGCTTTAAATCAACTGAAGTTTAGTAAATCTATGTAAATAAATATAATGAGTTCATTTTTCGATTCCCAGTTGCAGTTTTGTTTGTTATCCCTTTTATGTGAAATGAAAAGATTCAAGTTTCTATAAATTGGTTAAAATTGAACAGAAACCCATCTGAATCCAGGATCGAAAAATATTTCCATCCATGACTTAAACGAGAACCGGTGTTTTATCATGATATGGCCAAAAAAAATAAATTACATCATCCATAAATCAATTCAAATAATCTGAAAATTTTTTCACTGAAGAGGTTCTTATTTTAAAATAATCCTATCCCACGTACGCACGTTTAATAAAGGCAAAAAGAATAAAATTCAATATTAAATAACGTTTTTTTTAATCATTAACGAATCTTCCTTTTATGTCATAAATTTTTGTCCAAGTAGGCATCTATGCGGACAACACTACTATTTACTCCTGCCTCAAAAAACAAATCTAGTGTCGAGCTGACAAAAAAACTAACCTGGCCGTTTGTCTTGAAAAGGACCTCCAATCGGTTGTGAACTGGGGCAGGAATTGGCTGGTTAACTTTAACGCCTCAAAAAAAAAAAACTCCTCTCTATTACTCACCAGAGAGAACCATCCCTGCCCCCCATTAGAATGTCTGACGCTCAACTTCACTAGAGTTCCTCTTTGCGACTGCTCGGTCTCACATTGTCCGCTGACCTGAGATGGAACAAATACATTGAGTCAATAGCTTCGTCCACCGCTAGGAAAATTGGCTCCCTATGCCGCGCCAGGAAATTTTTTTTCGCCGGAATCGATCCTTCAAATCTACAAATCAACCATTCGCCCTTGCATGGAGTATTGCTGCCATATATGGTCTGGGGCCCCTTCTGTTTGTCTCAAGGTTCTTGATAAAATCCAAAGACGGATATGCAATGTAATTGGCCCTGATCTGGCATCTCGTCTGCAGTCGCTCTCTCACAGACGTGCCGTCGCCTCCCTCTGTCTTTTTTACAAATACTTTCATGGTAACTGCTCCGATGAGCTGCTTTCGCTGGTTCCCAGACTTCATGAATTTAAGCGTTCAACTAGGCTGGCATCTCGCTCTCACCCTTTCACTGTCGAAACTGTTAAATGTAGCCGTCTCTTCTACTCCAATAGCTTCTTGTCTCGCACTTCTCGCCTGTGGAACTCCTTCCCTTCTTCCTGTTCCCCTGATAGCTATAATCTCCAACTATTCAAGTGTAATGTCAATCGACATCTCCAGATGACTTTATCTATCCCCTATCCTTCTCTTCATCCTTTCCTCTATCACTCCTATTTGTTCTCGCTCCAATTCTCAGTAATCCCTCGGGTGCTAGTGGCTCTCACTATTAAAAAATCTAACAATTACCGTAAAAAAAAATAAAGACACGGCTACGCTAATTATAAATAAATGTAAACAAATTTTAATTAAAACTATAAACGCAGTTAGGATAAAACTGGGCAAGGGATAAGCAATATTTTTCGTAGTTTCCGGTTAACTTAGAATTTGCTGTATCTCTAAAGAGAGTTTGTTTCACCGAACTCCTAAAACTTGCTTCCTCATAAATTGTTTCGTTTTTACTAGTTCAGGTGAATAATAGAGGAACTTGAAAAATGGCCTCGTTTGGGGCCAAAAAGAAAAATGGCTGACGGCATAATGGAAGCAAAGCTAAAATTAGCTTTTCTAAGCTTGCACTGAAAGAAAATGGCTCCTCATTTCCCGGTCAGAACAATGACTGAAAACGTCCATATTTAGTATTTTGTATTTTTTGACAAATCATTGCAAAGCCAAAGAAAGAATATTGGGAAAATGCTTTTCTTTTGCTGATTAAGATATTGTTAGTCGGGAACATTATTTCTGCACGAATAGCTTTGTTTTTGTAGCTTATCTGTTACAACATATTTTTTGGCGAATAAATGTAACCGTAAGTTCTATTCAAATAGTTTCTTCTCGAGCTTTTCTCACTTGTAGAACTCTCTTCCGGCTTCTTGTTTTCAGTCAATTTTGATCACCATTTAAATGCAATGTCAATCGTCATCTTCGGTCTTTTAAATTCCTGTTCTTTTATTGTTCTTTTTCCTTAATATTGATTCTTTCGTATTCTTAGTTGAGTCTTAGTGGCTTAGGTTCCTTGCTTGCGGTGAAATGATCAAGAAAAGAATAAGACGCTTTCAAACAAAAAGCGGACATTAATAATTTAAAAAAAATCAGTGATCCCAAATTAACTATCACTTTTAATCGTCCCAATTTTAGGATAATACGCAGACCGTTTGTATATTCTATCTTTATTGCTGTAATTTGGATAAACACGTTTAGGATGGTGCGCTCGATTACCTTCCTCAATGACATGAAATATTGTTCTCATTTGTTAAAATATTCTCTTTTTGTTGTTTTGAGCAAATATGGCGCGCGTTGTCTCTCTGGAAATATGTAGTACTGCTGCTGATTTTACTATTCCATTGAAAAATCAGGAGATTGTCATTGATAAAAACATAACAGGGCGAGTATATGCATAATGGGAATTCGTTGTTAATGATTTCACTATAGGAATGCGCTTTGTAAAACAGATGAGGTTGTCAGTGGTTAAGAATGAATCTAATCCTTGTTGCTGTCCTGGGTATGGCGATAAACTACGTCCAGCAGCAAGGCCTCTGATCAGGAGGTTTTGAGGAGCGTGGAACCACCTCTTAATTGCTGGTATTCCCAGGTCCACCCTGACCCGGGGTGGTAGCACCGGTTAGGGTCCCAGCTATGAGCAAATAGTTAACTATTACCAGCAATATATTTCTGGAGGAAAAAAATTAACAGAAACAGATTTTTGACAAAACAAAATATTACCAGCAATAAAAATTTAGTCGGCATTAAATAGCCCATTGAGGTTGATATGCCGTAAAACAAAACAAACCAAACCATTCCCTGTTGATAGAATATGGCTCTTATATGTAAAATGCAATATATTGCTAATTATTTTATTATAACATGCATTAAAAGTCAGGAAGAGAGGGATTGTCATTGGTCAGGAACTACTGCAGGCATTACTGATAGAATAAGGTTATATGTATATTGTAAATGCATTGCAAATTATTTTAATATAAGAATCCATTGGAAAGCAAGTAGTTTCAGTGAATACAAACATTACTGACAAAATTGTATTATTGCTAATGATTTTATAAAATGCGCGGGAAAGCTGCACGAAATGGATTCTTATTAGTCAAGAAATTATGCAAGCATAATTAATAGAATATCTCTATTATATGTATAATATAAATGCATTAGTAAGTATTTTACTATAAGACGGTATTGAAAACCAAGAAGAATGGAATTGTCATGGGTCAGGAATGAATGACAGAATTACTGACGGAATAAGATTATTATTTCTTTCTTACTTTTTCATGTTGCATATTTCTGCTTGAAAAACTGAAACGAAATCTATTCATTTGATGGTCTCACCGGACACCATTTCCAAACTAGACCATGTATGGCAGAAGGTCGCTTATTTGGAAGTAACTGCTGTAGAAAGAACTAACTCGAAAAAACCTGATATAAGAGGCGTTTTTCACTGTCACTCAACGGCGGTTCTCATCTGTAGAGACGACAAAATTATTTCAATTGTTGTCTGTGTCTTTGTGCACCTGAGTGTCTTATATGTGAGCATCTTTTGTGATTGTCCAGAGGTGTTATACTTTGCCGGGGCTAGGACAGGTATAATGGCTGAGAACAGAATGGGTTCCAGAATTCTCACCGACAGAGAACACACAATCGATTAGCACGCGAAGGAGACATTTTAATTGTGTTCGTTCTTCCAAAATGAGGAACGAAAAGCGAATGAGTGAATGAAAGAAAAGAATCATTTTATTTAATTGAAGGAGAGACAAGAGAGGAAGAAAGAAAGCAAAAAGAACGTTTAAGATGGGGAGAGAATAAAAGATCGATTTTTTGTTCATTTTGGCGTAACACAAAATATATGTCCATACGAACTGTATTTTTTATTTTCCCGTTTATATCAATTTACACGCTAAATTATTTTATTTATACGACATTCAGTTGCTCAACAGCGTGAGAAATTATATTTAGGAGATAAGTTTAGTATTTGAAACGGAAAATCTACAAAACAACACATTTCGGCAAATACAAAAGACAAAAGAAAGTGAAAAAGAGAATCATTTTCCTGTAAATAATTTATCAGTCGGCGAAGAAGAAGTAAAAAAATATTTGCCTATCTTTTCTATGCGTCTGAAATAGTTACCTATCTTGGTTGATATAATGGCCTATCTTTTCTCTGCCGCTGAAGATGTTGCTTATCTTTTTATGTGGATTAAATAGTTGCCTATTTCTCCATGGAAATGCTGAAAGGCTTACTTATATTTGCTTGCCTATATTTCTATGCGGCTGAAATTGTTCACTACATTTCTATGCTACTGAAATAGTTGCCTATATTTCTAAATGTTTGAAATAATTATCTATATGCGGGTGAAATAGTGGCATATCTTTATGTGTGTCTATTGCCTATTTTCTATGAGGTTGAAACAGTGGCCTATCTTTTCTCTGTGAGTGAAAAGTTTGACTCTCTTTCTATGTTACTGAAATAGCTGGCTATATTGTTATGATACTGAAATAATTTTCTATCTTTTATATGTGGCTGGAATAGTTACCTAACTTTCCATGAGGTTGAAAAGTTGCGAGTCTTTCGTTATGTTTGAAATCTGTGCCTAACTATGCGTCTGAAATAGTTGCCTATGTTTTTTATGCGGGTGAAATAAATACTTATTTTTCTATGGGGCAGAAATACTTGATATGTAGTTGAAATAGTTGGCTAACTTTTCTCTGCATTTAAACTTGTTTCTTATTTTTCTGTATGGATTAAAAAGTTTCCTATCTTCTTCATATGGACGAAATAGTTTCCTATCTTTTATTTTGCCTATATTTCTAAATGTTTGAAATAATGACCTATCTATAGCGGGTGAAATAGGTGAATATCTTTATGTGTAGATTAAATAGTTACCTATTTTTCTTCCCACTTGCTTTCTATGTGGCAGAAATATCTATTTTTTCTACGTGATTGAAATAGTTGCCTATCTGTCTATGTGTTTGAATTAGTAGTCTATCTTTTCTATGTGAGAAAAATGGCTGACTGTATTTCTATATTACTGAAAAAGCTTCGTATATTTTTATGTGGGTGAAATAGTTGCCTATATTTCTATGAGATTGAACTATATGCATATCTTTCTATGTGTCTGAAATAGCTGGCTATATTTCTATGTGGCTGAAATAGTTACCTAATTTTCTATGTGTTTACAATGGCCTATCATTTCTATGTGTGTGAAATAGTTACTTATCTTTCTATGGGGCGAAATTGTTGACTATCCTAGTATGCGGTTGAAATAATAAATCTTTTTTATGTGACTTAAATAATTGCTTATCTTTTAGTTTGAATGAAATAGTTGCACATGTTTACTGTATAAACGAAATAGTTTCCTATATTTTTATGTGGATCAAATAGTTGCCTATCTTTCTATGCGTCTGAAATAGTTGCCAATCTTACTATGAGGCTGAAACAGTTGCCAATCTTACTATGAGGCTGAAATAGTTGACTATATTTCTACGTTACTGAAATAGCTGCCTATATTTTTATGTGAATCTTTTTCTATGCGACTCATATAGTTGCATATCTATTGTAACCTAGAGAAGGTTACTGAATAGAAGATTGGTAATGAACGATAATATTTATGACAAGAACAACACATAAGATTCGCCAGCGGCGCGTAGAGGTAGTAAACTGTTAGAAAAGAGTCAAGTGAATTCAACAATGAATCTCCAACTGCTGGATAACTACCTATCGCCCCACACGGCCGAATTTAAATGTGGAGTTTCCAAGCCCGTAGGCTCAGCCAAAAATTCTTCGTGGACCCCGCATAAAATGGAGTCGGGTAGCTGTTTCCCGAGATGAGACGCTCCCCTTCGACATAGCCTCGTCTTATTTCACTTCCTATAACAACTATAAGTGCGCCTGCCGTGGAGCCAGATTACCCCCCCCCCACTGTCTCAGAGGTCATCTTTCTGTGATGCAGGTGTCGGATATATCTCTATCATTTTGGATTTAACAACGTGTGTATTGGGATTCGTATATTTGTTCCCAGCGTTGCATTTCTTGTGGCTTGTCTCACAGAATTTTAACCCGAATATTAATATTATAAATTTTATACACAACCAACTTGTACAATTTATTACGTCTAGCTTGCCAATGGATGTATAAAAAAAACAATGTATTTCACTGACAAGTGGACTTTGAAGAACTCCCAGCGGACAAATTAAAAAAAATAGCAAATGGAGAAGAACGTGACGTAAAAGGTTTTCATTTCTTCTACACTCAAACGCTCACACAATCCGATTTGACAAGTTAATGCACATTGCAAAAATGATTTAAAGATCCGACGAGTTGTGAGCCAATGATATTTTGAAAGACATGGATTGAGTTTGCTTGGTTGGCTGTCAATAAATACAGTCACTGTAATTTTTTTCAATGTGTGTATCAGAAGATTAGATTCATTGCAAAATCATGCAAGGTTTTCCTTAACAATGGGTTGAGAGATTAGAAATCTGACCATTCCTTTAAAATATCTATAGAAAAGAGTGAAACTACATTATGGTGGTGGGAACGTGACTGAAGATGACACACGAGGCCAGGACCAATAACACTGCAAATTCTTTGGATTTTATCAAGAATCTCTACATGTATAACAGGAGCGCCGGACCATATTCCAAGAGCTTTGGATTTCTTCTCTTGTTTTTAGTTTGCATACTTGGCGTTTTTTTCTTGCCGATAACGATCGATTCTGTCGTTTTAAAATTGATGATTAGTCCCTTCTTGACGCTTTCCTTTACTACTTTTTCTAGGAGGTCCTGTAGTTTTTTTTATCTGTCTTACATCAACATAGTGTTATCTGCGCTGTATAGTTAAGATGACCGCTGTCGATAATAAGTTCTGGTAATGTTCCCATTTCTTTTGGGTTTGGCTCTCTATAGGATTTGAATAAATTTGATAAGAAGACACATCCTTTTCCTCTGTTATAAAGTTAGATATATTGTCAATATCAATGTTGAGAAATAAATTTTTTTCATAAATCGTTTTCGAGTGTTACAAATCATTTTAGAATGACATCATTTCACGAGGATTATTGTTTATATAAATATGTATTATTTGCATTAATTACATTCGGAGAAAATGGCCTCAATTTTGTTGTTTTTATCAAAGAGGCTGTTGCATTTTCTGGCCTCCTTCTGGTGTCTGTCGATACGAGTAACTTTGGTTTTGGTTTGGTTTGTTTTGTTTTACGGCATATCAACCACAATCAGTTATTTAAGGCCGACAAGATTTTTTATAACTGGTAATATTTCTCAAAAATATACTGCTGCTAATAATGTAATCCTGGTAAGAATTTTTTTCTTCAAAAATTCATTGCTGGTAATAATTTTTTACAAAAGTGTATTGCTGGCATTAAAACCTATTTTTAGATTTTTTATAGCGTTTTGACCCAAGTTTGGGGTTGACTATTTGCCCATAGCTTGGACCCTAACAGGTGCTACCAACCCGGGTTAAGGTAGATCTAGGAACATCTGCAATTAAGAGGTGGTTCCACGCTCTTTCAAAACCTTCTGATCAGAGGCCTTGCTGTCGGATGTAGTTTAACGTCTTACCTAGGACGCTTCTTTTTTTTTTGGGTTGGGGGAGTCTTATCCCTCTGCAGAGGTGCAGTCGGCGTATACTGAAGCATCAGCTGACAGGGCCAAGTAACCTTTAAAGAATTGTGAGCTGAACCTTTCATTTAATTTACCTTTGTACAATTCTTGTACTCCAAGTCTACTCACGTACGACAATGGCCTAATGGATTCAAGGGTTGGTTTGAGAATTCGGTGATATAATAATTGTTCAGTCCTTAGGATTGGTAGTAGATGTATTGGGAACAGGACGAGGAATAAATAAGACTGTAATATAAAATAAAATGAAATATCCAGAGGCATTGACAGCGGAACGCTAACACTCATAGATTAAATAAACGGTCCAGTTCGAGATTACATAAGCTTATCCGCATCAAATGACACATGACGAAGTCCAGGGGTATAACGGTTGAAAAGTTGTGATAATAATAACAAAGATGAGGGATAAATAATAAAATTTTCTCATGCCAGAAGTTTAGATAAAAATAAATATGAATAAATCCTAAACACTTTCAGAACATCGCCTGAAGACAGAAAAATATTAGCGTTGTGTCCACGATATTTGAGGCATTGAAAAGAACACTCAATAAAATGTTCTGTGTAATTACGTTTCCAGGAAAGTCTTCAAATTTTTTCATAAAATGTTGTAGATGTCGCTAGTGAGTGAAGAGAATTGGTAAGGTATAGGGAAGCTATATTCTCAGCTACAGTTAATATATTGCGTGCAAATGTACAATCGAGGTGCATGTAGGACAAGTGGGTATCGGCGAGTCGATTTCAAATTCCAGGCTTGTCTTTTGCATTCACTTTCGAAATATTGCCTTGAGAAAGGAGTAAATCTATCTGTTCTCAATTCCAATATTGATTAAATAACACGATAGATTAGTCTCTCTAGACCTAGATGGCAAGCAATTGAAGAGAAGGAAAACTCTGAATTCCAAAACGTAGAGAAATCCATACTACTTTCCATGGAGACATGGTACTAGGTAATTCTCAGGTAATAAAGAAAAGGATTTCCTTGGAATGTCATCGGCACCTACATCTTGAAAGATGATTGCATTAAAAAGAAAACTGAAAACAAAAAATCAAATTATGAGAAATAACATAAATTCTATAATAACATAAATTCTATAAAAACATACATTTATAGGATGTGTTGGACCAACAATTTCACTCTGCATAGATTCTATCATGTAACTTAAAAAGGACCTGTTTTTAACATCTTGAT